CGAGGAAGATGGAAATGGTGGGTCTACGAAAGGAGTATCTGTGTTCTAGGATTTGACGAAAAGTAAAAATGCCGTTACAACCTTGACCAGGTCTAAAACCATCCTGGTTCTCACATGTGCACTCTTCACGAGCGGCAGACAATCGATGGAGTATGATTCCGGTGAAAAGTTTAGAGGCAATGTTAATCAAACTAATTCCTCTGTGGTTTTCACAAGAGGACCTGTCACCCTTCTTGTAAATCGGTATGATGACCGATTCACACTATTCAGTTGGAACGTATTACTTTTCCCACACTGAACCCCGGAGTTTTGTTAACTTCAAAACGAAGACTAGACCTCCATCCTCAAAAACCGATGGGAACAGCCCGTCGGATGATTCTGTGGATATTCAGTGACGTGATGATAATGGCAAACTTCCTTGATGCTTTAAACTTAGTTGGCGATCTCGTTTATTATCGTCGTAATTTTTACTCAGAAGTAGCTACCGTTGGTTGATTGATCTTCGAAAGTCGCGATCCTCAAGTGGCACTCCTCTGCACACGCTGGCCATCTTTTTGACGGGTTTTACCAAAGTGAGGTTGACGTAAAACAGACTTGCTCATTTTCACCATCAGAAATAGTCTTGGGTAGATGCGAAAGCGTTGAGAAACGTGGCTGTCGCTATTGAACTTATTGACATTGAATCGAACGTCATTTCGACTCTCGTGGGAATAACGGCCAAAGGGATTCGGGTGAAATCCACTGGACCGAGGATAGCAAAGTAAACCACTTTGGCCATCGTATTTCACGCAGTTCAACGGTAAATGCACGTTGCTGTCGTCGGACTCAACGCCGCATCTATCTTGGTGCAACTTTATACAGTCCGTTATTCCTTGTCCCAAGATTTAGGTCGCCGATTATCGTGAATGAGCGTTAGGTCATCGAGTTGACCTATTCTACTCTTCACTGCACTGAAGGAGCATGGTAAAATACTCGATGCCCACTCCCACATGGGGATGAGTTTTAGATAAAACCTCTCATTGCCTCGCTAATATGAACATATAGAGTACACGGGATGAATGCCACCCTGTGGGATGGCAAAACAACTCAGATAAAAGTTACCGGGTTTATCCCACCCGGTGGATACAATTTTTTTGTTTATCTGGTCCGAGATTTTCTTCATTTTGTTAGTTTCGTTCTTCACTTGTCGTTACCGTTCATGTGTGGTCGATTTTTGTCTGTATTCTTACCTGTACGCACAAACCGAACAACCAGGGACGATTGATGAGTTGCTCCGTTTTAGAACAATAGTTCATTCACTCTGCTTGGGAAATTCTCTTCTGCGTGCGGACGTATATAGTCTTTCGTTGGTTGTCATGGCAACTCGATGTTGGTTTGGTAACCATGCTCACTGTCGTGCACAATTTGGATAGCATCAAATGGGCGATTTTCACTGCTGTTCCATCCATATCCGGCGCATTCCGTTCCATTTTCACACAGTTTCAATGCCGAACTCTATTCAATCTGTGGCTTCCACGGACATGATTTTACTCGGATTCAGCTATTCTTGAAGGCCTGGTGACAGATTTCAGTTTTGAGGGATGTTTGATGGTGGTGTTGATCAAACTCTTTGATCGCATCATTTTTCGATTTACGAGATGAATGGTTGGTTATGATTCAAAGGTACTTCCTAAAAGGCAGGCCTTTCAGCACAAATAGAACGTACTTCCTATCGATCTTATCCAGTACCTGAACTCAAAATCAAAGTTCCATACGAGATAGACAATTATGAGATAACAATATTGATTTTTTTAAAATATCCCCAAAATGACGGGATAGGTTCGACTGAACAGTTTCTCTGTCCGTCTCTCTAATTTGAATCGTCCTTACTTCAGGACAGCCTCACATGGCTGGTCACTCCACTACCCCCCCTCCACCCAGAACTAAATTTTTCCCACATTCCACGAACCGTAATCGAGCACTAGTCATAATAATTAGAATGCAGTACGGCGAATTTCGGTAATAGCTGCAAATTCCACAATGTGTACACGGTAGTTAGGACGTGGGTCTGTTTCGTATGGGAGGAAGAGATAGGAAAAGTAATGCAATGCAAATGAATACAATCCAACTGTGCCCACACTTTTACAAACATTCTGATCTCTCATAAGAAGTAACAAGAAGACTGCCACTACTATTGATCCTTCAGAGTCTCCAACCAATCACTCACAAAGTCTTATGAATCCCAAGCTGGAAGGTGACAGGCTGCCAATTCACACCATCGGTGCATTTCGTCATACCTCGTCTCCGGATCGTTTGTTGACNNNNACTGCCGCCTAATCTGTTCCATCCTGGAGCAGCAACTGCAAATAAGGTGCAATGTTTGTAGGTGACATTCGGGTATGAATAATACGTCTCATCCGCTGGTCCGTCACATTTGCATTCGGTGTGATAATGGACATTTCGCAAATGTACAACGGTTCATCTCGATGGTGCTAAACTGCTCATTTCATCCTATCTTCACCGAACTACGTAAGCATCGGTGATCTAGGAGTTCCAGCCGATGGTTCTATTTCATACTCAGTCTGCGTCACAATCCTAAAACAGAATGGATCGCATAGTGGTGCGATACATGGGACCCTTCAGTTTCAGGGGAACATCACATCGACACTCAAGTTGTTTCAATCTTGTTTCCATCGCTCGAACCTTGAAACTGCGTGTTCGGTTACATCCTCCGCTTTGCTACTGTCATCACTGACACACGTGACCAGGCAAGAGAAACAATCTACTACCATAGTTTATTCTTGCTCATCCAGCCAGACCCAAGGCAACGGTGGTCAACACCCACTCTCGCACCAGTACTTTGAGTGTACAGCGCGCAAAACGAATGGAATAACAGAACTTGTTAGTCTGTCAAATGCATATTGGCTGTCCTCTATACACTCGAATAGATAAACTATGACGCCCATCGTAATCTAACTCGCACACCTTTTTCAGCCTCCTTTTCAATGCCAACAATTACGGAGACTAGTCAGTGCATGATTCAATATTTCATCCACGATGAAATTGAACAAGGATGAAGGAACAGTGTAACCTTGGCGAACAATGAACTTTTGTCTAACAATCTGTTCAGATCGCCATAGACTCTCAATCGCGTAGAATTATATGAATACGGTGATTTGTATAGTTGAACATTCTTCTCGGACATTCCTTTGCGGAGAAATAAATCCATTCGGTCCTCACGGTTAGCTGTGAATTCGGCCCATACCCCATGAGTTGGAGTGTGAGACGCATCGGAACTAGTGTTGGATCCGACTCAACTCAGGTGGTCCAATAGGGCCCATACTGAATCACTCTAACTCTAGCTTACTATAATGCGGTTAATCGAGTTCAGTTTGCCTGTTGAATTAGATCACCACATTGACATTTGTCGAAAGTTGGCGCTATATGGCTGATCTGCAATGAGTCGATGACCATCAAATATTCACGGATGGGGGTTGTGTGATACGACTGTTTAAATAGGCATTGGATACGCTCCGTTCTCCATTTTATTGCCCGCCAGCACAGTTGTTATATCGGGAACTACAGCTCAGCCGGTGAGTTTGCCCTAAAACATTCGTCCTTTTGTGCATTTGGATCAATGTTGGTTGACGCATGTGCTGAAATGATGAATAGACACCTTTCGGCTTTGGTTCCTCTTTTTAATATTGACGGAACTTGTAGTTCCATTGCGCATAAAAGACTGTAAGTGGCTATCTAATCTGTCGCTGATACCACGGTTTTGTTTATCAGTACGTTACCTACCGTGTGCTGACTTGGTGAGCAAGCTTCATTGTCTCTCGATGTATCTCCATTTAAGTATCGATTACTAGGGAAAATTCATTACGCGCATGCATGGAGCCCTCACGTTGAACGCCCCAAAGAGGGAGGTTGACAAGACTTCAGAATCCACGGTTTACTCGATGGGGCATTACTTACAACGCTAGCTGGCAACGACCTTTGACGTCTGACACGTGGATTATCTCAGAAGATATTGCTGAACGCAAGTTGAAGCAAAATATGGGATTCAAAAAGGCAGAAAAAATTATATAATGAGCAGTGACCCACTCATCGCTACCCACCCAGCTCGAGGTAGTGGATAGCGCGGTCCTGATTGTCTTGTGCGACAATCGACTCACTACGGAATTAATTATATTTTGTGTTCATTCGAGCCTCAGGGATGCTACCACTCAACAAAACAAAGATGGATGAGTTTGTAAGCTCTGTCAGGTTGATATTAACTCACTGACCAGGGATTGACAGAATGGACTTAATAGCCCCCGACGCATTTCACACCCTCCTGGCCTCCGAAAGCCTCAGTATGGTCGGGGTGGATGTCTGGAGTTGGGACTGGTTACCATTCCCTTACACCTCGCAAAATGATCCCGTACGGCCAAGTGTCTCAAATAGCTTATACTGAGGAAACCCTACTCACTGCCTTCACGTGGTGGTAATGTTTTCCCACCAAATTGAGAGGATGAAAAGCCAACATCCGGTACTATAACCGGGTTGGTGAACCACTGGTAGTCACCTATGGGATTTGACTAAAATCCCTGATTTTAAACCAACGAAGAAGAGGCGTACGAACCACACGCACATCTTCCTGGTTGTGGTAGTTGTCACCGGCTCAACTGAGCACCTTGGACGTTTGACCCCGTCCAAAGGGCGTATGATCCAATCAACTTGACACCGACCCCCAATAGACTGGGGAATGTGAGCTCTCTGTCCTGTTGTCTTGCAGGTCTGGCTTTCTAGCCATAGGTATCGGGTGGTGATCCCGAGGTTATCCCCCTTTCTCGGTCAGAGCAACCGGGAAGTAACATGCCCACACAACCTATGAATACATTCTAAAGATTTCTTCCTGTTCATATGTTGTGACACTTGCCAGTTCTCTGTAATTGGTTGCATGTTGAAATGAATAAATAAATCAAGCGTCATGTGCAGCTTTCACAACTCCATCCCAATGAATTTAGCTTAATCTGCAAATCTGGCTAGTGTGATGTGTGGCAAGTGATAAAAATCTCCACGTTCAAGGTAAAGCGGCTGTGGGGACACACGTAGAAAAAACTGATGGACGCAAAAGCATTTCTCTCACTATTTTCTGGTTGCTAACTCGTCAGCCTACCTGGCGGTTTGATTCCGACACGCAACTCATCTGTTGTTGTGTTGTGCATCTTTTTAGCTCGGATTTTTCCTTCTCCTGAACTAATATAAAGATTTCTTTATTGCGAATGAATTAACCACACACAGTCAATTTTTCACTTATTATTTTTTTTACCGGGAGTATACGTAAAGTTCTGTGTTCGCCATTGGCCCACCGGATCGGATAGGATGATAACTTCTTTGGCCTTCAAGATGTGCTTCCCGGAACTGAGCATCTCCCTTATCCGGAGGTCCTCCACCATCCATGCCCAAACGCATGGACTCCTCATTCGTCTCATCTCTCTCTTTCTCGTCGATCGTTTCAAATGTAATGGAGTCAATTATTGTCAGTAATTATTTGATGCAAAAAGATAGCTTAGCGGTGGTCAGGACATTCCCCCACCTCAATAAAGTCAATACTTGTTAGCTGCAGATTTCCTGCCTATTTTTGCGGTGAAGTCGCACTTTATGGAATGGATTGTTTAATAGCGAAGTATGGCACACCCAATGTCAGTAAAAGTTGAATGCTACATCAATCCAGGTTGCTGAAGGCCAGCTCTGATCAGTCGGAGCATCGAATTCTAAGTGCGATGGATTTGCACTACTGACGATTTTCAGCACATTGGATGAAGCCATTAAACAGTAGTTTGTAGAGCCTTTTTTAAATAATAACTGGCACGTTGAATCTGTTCCTCGAGAGAGAGAAGTCTGATCAATTCATTCGAACTCTATTGATGCACCGCTTGAATAATTCACCAACCATTAAACGGTAATTCTGTTTGATTATGTTGTTTGTGTGCCACCTTGCTCTGTGCCTCTATTGCCCGTGCCACTCATTGTACAACAGATTTCGGTCGTTTTCATCCCCGTGTCTCGCGGTCCGATCCGTGCCGTACCAATTTGAATGGCTCGTTGCGCCGGTCGCAAGACGAGCAGTGGTCTTCCGAGGATTCCGCGGTTGGTTTGTCTCGCGAGGGCGAAATTTTCCCCGAGGATGCTATCACCGACCTCCGATTGAATCACACACGTTCTTCCGTACGGGAATCGTTTGACAGTTCCGGTTCCCATCGCTCCTGTGATGCGTCTGATCAGCATTTGTCCGGCCTGGTGAAAGCCGGTTCTTCGACAAATTTGCACAAGGTAATTCTGCGTCTGCCGGTCCTGTCAACCGACTGTGTGTTTGTGTTTGTGTGTACGTGGTAAGATTTGAGTATGTGATATCATGGTTCTCTCTCATTCCACTCACTAATGTGACAAATACGGTTGCAAGGGTGAAATCCCCCTAGTCACAAGGGGTCACTGTACAGCTCTCTTCCGACTTGGAGTTTGAATACACACACATCAGATCCGAATAGAGATATAAGCACAATGATGTTTTCAACAGATTTGAATATAGGTGTGGTTTGTAGCTCAGGTTGATGTACTAAACGATAACGAAGTTACCCAGTACCGGAATGCAATATCAATGAAGGAGTTTCAAACCCCGACCAGATATGACCACTGCGAAACTTGCTTCCAAGGGCTGTTATTTCGAATTATTTCCACAGATAACCTGTTAGTTCAAGTAGACCTCAAACACGAACAGATCTATCCTGGTCAAATACTACCACTATCCGGGAATAGAAAACAGATTTTGCCTCGATGCTTAGTCCCCCCCCCAACTCCAGTAATGAATTCGACAGATACCATTGGTCTGGACCACTGGTCGTCGCTCGCCGTCTGCCCATCACATTTTGAACTATGACAATTGCTTATTGGAGTTGCCATTCCCGTTGGTAACTGAGATATGTTCATAAGTGTGACAGACCTTAATCAGAGCAACCTATTTAGACCCCTTACTCAATAAAACGAGCTTGTTTATTACTCAGTAGGTGTTCCGTGGGACTGCTTAAACACAGTATCAGTTCGGTTCTTACAATCATTAACTATACACTCTCGTGCGCCTGTTTTGGTTGCTGTCTTTCGGTTGCCCATTTGGATAAAATAGCAGAATGATGATCAGAATGTGGAGAGCAAATTTAAGCGGAAGGCAGCACATTTTCATAGATTGAAGTTACAAGAATAATGAGTAGATGCATGAGCGCCACTGTTTGCGACACCCAGCCATATCATTCAATGTCTC